GTTCTTTTGCAAAACGTTCCGATCAGGTGGCTATAGGTGTGTGAATCGTTGTTGCAGGACAGTACATGTGACAACATGCATATAATTATTTTTCAAATGTATGTGTGGAGGTTGGTGTTGTGTTCTTTTCACAACATGCACTGTGTTTTGATTTTATTTAGAGCAATATGCTGTAATTTTCAGCCATGTCATTCTATTTGTTCAATTTAGATGTGCTTTTACGCTTTGTATGATTTCTTTCAAGATTAGATTTAGGGGATGTGTGTTGTTAAGGAAGTTGAAAGGCAGTGTGTGGGAGGTGATTTAACCCATTTTAGTGCTACTTTAAAGTTAATGTTGAATGCTTACTGTTAATGGCTGTGGTTACAGGTTGGTCTTCTTTGTTGTACCCATCATGCCAGTGAGGCCTGGTCAGATCTGGCATTTGGCAATCACTTTTATTAATGGGACAATAGCCTACGTACCCATTATCTCAAATCTTGTTTAGAGGAAACCACACATGAAGACTAGCAACAAGATGGTCCGAGCCATTGTTTTTGTACTTCAATTCAATGTTGCATTTTGGCCCTCTAATCTTTTAAGTTATTCAAAGATGATGATGTGTTAATTGGGAAGTCAAGTTTAAATAATATGTGTACCACCCTATGCTTCCCATTAGCATCTGCTGCACATGGGAACATGGTAAAACTGAGGAATGATACCTGTTTTATATTGGACTGTCTCCTTATTTTTTAAACAAACAACTATCAGTGGTTTACTTAAAGTGGACCTATCATGCTATATTTGAACAATATATTGTAGGGCCATACCTATATAAAACATGTCTGTTTAGTTTTTTTTTCAAAATACCAAACTGATCATGCATTTTAGCCATGCCTCATTTCGCTCTATTTGCTCTTTCCAGCCCTGTTTTTGCAGGGGCTGATTCTGTGACGTAGCTTTAATGCAAATGAGCTGCAGCTGACCACGCCCCCCTGCAGGAGAGGGGAGCGTGCTTTGAGATCAGCTGCTGGGCTGTCAGAAGAGGGGGAGAAAAAGAGATCTCCGTCCTCCGTGTTTTATTCTTATATATGATTATATAGAGTCATTATTCATTTGTTTTAAAGCTCAATAAATAACAAAGAAGACCTTTGACCGGCACTTTTCAAATTTTGTCCGGAAGATTTAAACTTTAACGGACATCTTGACCGGCGAAAGTAACTGAAACTGAAACTCTGCCGCACGGTCCCCTCGTTCCTTGGAAGAGGCGGAGAGGTGGGTGTTTGTCATCTGCTGGTGGACTAACCGGAGAGAATTACAGTGCTTGCCTCGACGGGGAGGGATTGCATTGAATTAAAGCAGCAGGAGCAAACGCTTGCCTCGGGGAGGGAGAAAAAAAGCCACAGCGGAGAATAAATAGAAGGGCAACCATGGCAACCATGGCAACCATGCGCGGGAAGTCTTCTTCGCTGCTTTTGTGGCAGACTACAGCGCCACTTACAGGCCTGGCATATGTACTACAGCGTCTCCAGCACTTTCGAGCGGCAATGGCCGGCCGTGGCCCAACCTCTCATTCCCCTGATAGGTGGAGAGTTGGCCATATAGGCGGAGCTCCTCGTTCCTGACGTCAGAGGATTTTCAAATCTGTATCAGTTTTTATCAGATCCGTTGCAGCCCCGTTTTTAGAGATTTGGGTATGGAGGAAAAGAGAGAGGGTTGTGTTTTCTGACACTTGGTGAGTTCCCTGGAACACCGGGGACACATATTCATGTATAAAAGACGTACAAAAGTGCATTTTGCATGATAGGTCCCCTTTAAAGAAGCAGCCATTATGTCTTTAAGTGTGCAGGGAAGTCAAAGCTAGTTAGCCTAGCTTTGGAACATTAGCATCGGTTCCCACTAGATTTTGTACATCTGAGTCTCTGGCTTATAGCTGTGTTCATTCTACACTTAGAAAGTGTTGTGCTGGCTAGCGTAACATAAACAGTTGTACTCATTTCCTGCCATTTTAGACTGACAGATGTATTGTAGTTGACAGCTGTTGGTTTCCCTTCACTTTAGTAAGGTAAAATCAACATGCAATTCCCAGAAAATGGTATGTACATTTCACTAAAGTCAACAATTAGCTTTATCAATTTATATGACAGTAGCTGGCTAGAGGAAATGAGGATTTGCTTAAATTGTGCTTGACTCTTAACACTTGGCTAAAAATCTCAATGGAAATGGGTTCAGGGGTTTTGGAGCTTGACTTTCTGCTTAGGTAAAAAAGACAACATAGTTGTTGTACGTTACTCTGAAGAAAATAATATAGTTTTGTTTAGGTCCCTCTTAATCTACCTTGCAGATTTCACAGCACTGTCAACTCCTGCAGTCGATCTACCAAAGCAGCCCCTCTGCGTGTGACTGAAATGTCCTTTGATGTTTGTGGTCTGTATGCACAAGCTTTAACAAAACCGACTGACCAACTCGCTTCCTGAGTTGTGCAAAGTGACGGCCTAATGTTTCACAAACAAGTCAAAGCTGAAATGGAAAATAGATCCTCCCATTCTTATTTCAAGAGAATATGAGTCAGACCATGTGGCAACAATGCAAAGAGGAAGCAACAGTGTTTGTTAAACATCTTAAAGTTAACACTTATTTAGTACAAACAACACGAGGTGGAACTGCTTTATTGAGAATAATTGTTCAACGTGGTTTTGGCAGGTTGAGCTTGTCAAACTCTTCAGTCTTCATTGCATTTCTTTGTCATTTGGAGTTAAGTGCTCAGTCCTGTTGTGTGTTTGTGCTGAAGGAATTTAGGATTCCTCCTGATGAACTTTGAACAACTTGAACATTTGGTCAAGTAGTTCATTACAACACATTCAAACCAAATATATTTTCATACTTTCTATTTAGCCTACTTTCTATTCTATAAGAAGATATAGAGTAGTTTAGTACAATACTGATCTAATCTGACCAGCACAGTTTTCACTCTTCATATATATTTTTTGACTGTGGTTTTACACCAAATGTTGAAGCGATAAAAACAGTAGAGTTACATTTATTTGTTTGTTTGTCGTAACTCTTGAAATAGGTCAGAAACAATATGAGCTGGTTACTAAAGCACCACATTGGGCAGCCATTGTGGCAATACTTCATTTTTCCACCACTTCAATACTGGCATTAAAAGTAAACCAGGTCAGTTAACAGATATACTTCCTTTGTACTTCTGCATTGTTTAACAAAAGTGGCATTTGACTATATACACATTGCATGTATATTTATTTATATTTATCAAAACATATATCAAAAGAAGAGACACCAAGACAACCTTTAGTTAGAATAAAAGAACACGTGTTTGTAGAAAAGAGAAAGTAAAGGCGACCAACCTGGTACATCTAACCTTTGAGTTAGATGTACCAGCGCCTTTTCATCTGTATCTAGTTATGTGTATGAACTGCGGCTGTAAGTATTGGCTTTTAGTAAGAAGTAAAGGCGTCATTGTGAATACAACCACATTTGTTGTCGGGAGGGGAGGGCAACAAAACCCCTTAGATTGAACTTGATGTGAGCGAGCAGACCAGAGCGGGAACTTTCTTTTCCTTTCTTCTCTTTTTTCTCAGTGAGTAGCAGTACTTAGAAACACATCACTAAATATATGAGTGTTTGAGACAAAAAAGTCAAAGGTTGGACAAAACGGCAAACTTCTACAACAGTTCTAAACTTAGTAATTATAATATGATAAATAATAATTATGCATAGTTAGATCATTCAAAGCTTGAGGACATTTCGCAGCTGAAATTCAAAACAAAATGTTTATTTTGACCAAACTTATCTTCTAAAAACCATCAAAGTGAGGATTTCTGATTGCATAGTGACTCAACGTGTTGCCTTCATGTTAAATATGGTGCACTGGGTCTAAACAAAAAGTATGTCTGGTTACCACAACAATACCTCTAAATATATTAAGTCTGTGGGGGGAACACACAAAATCAATGTGTCTTTGAAAATGCACTGTCTTTGTGGTGTGCACTTTAAATAACTTAACTTTCAGATCTTATCTATCTTGTGGTCACGCCGATCTGTAACTGTTGTTTGACCAGATAAGCAAAATGGTGGAACAGTGTAAGAATCATACAGTAGGAGGAATGCTGCTCCCTACAGACCAAAAGCTTAACTGCAGACATCAAACTGAAATGAAGCAACAGGCCTAATGTTGAATTTAAACGTGGAATCCACCGAGTTTAGTTTAAATGTAAAAACATCTGGGGAAAAAGTTGGATAATGTCTTCTGTCACTCTGGAGCTTTTCAAATTCTGAAAGAAATACAATTGGGTCTTAAAGTTTCAGTATTTCCGACTGTTGTTTCACATTGACTGTAATTCTTTTCTCTTTTGAGCATCCTTACTTTATGAAAATGCAATGCTTCATTTTTTTGGATACCTCTTTAGCCACATTCAGAGCTTTAAACAGGGTAAGACCAACTCAAGCTTATATACAAGAGAGTGTTACAGTCATCCGATGGAGGTATACTGGTTCAAAGCAGTAGTTTTTGCTTAGTTCAGATTAGCTAAGGCCTGCGTAAGCGATACACATATGTCTATCTCCATAGAGGCTGAATCATCATGTTAATCGTTGTCACATAGCTATCATATGCCTAAAACAGTCCTGATGCTCTTCTAGGTAATCATACATCTAAACTAATTAATAAACATTTGGCGTGTTTTCCGAGATATCTTTGGAAATTGGACACAAAATGAATTTGCTATATTTAGGAAGAGTGTAATCTTAATAGATAAGGAGACTATCTTAAGATGACAATGTGCAAAATGGATGTGGTTTGAGGTTGTGACGAGGAGGGACTCAGATCAGACAGCATCCTCTTGACTTTCCATGACTGTTTGATGCATCTAGCCTGTTAGTTCTTGACCGTTCTCTCTAGTGTTAGACGTGTTTTCATCAGTCAAAACCAGTAATATTCCAAAAGACACATTTTAGCCAAAAACTGAAACGTAGATTTTAGCTGAAAGTAACATCTTATTTATTTTGTCCAGACATTTGTCATATCATTGGTATAGATAAAGACACACTATGCTTTAATTGAAACAAGGAAAATGCTAGTTAGGTCATTTGAAAAGAATAAGTGACTGAAAGATGGGCCAATAACACTGTAAAGATATCATTTACTCAAGTATTCTTATTTACATTTATGATGCTCTTTATTTATTGTTTGCAATTTCACATACTGTTCATTGTATCCAGACTGACACTATCATATATCTTGCATATAATGTATTACATAATATGCTCTTTGTATTTGGAGCCATATTGCCCAGCCAAATGGGAAAAATAAAATGTTGTTTAGTATTTTTATCTGAGAATACCGATGTTTTTGTATCTCTATCAACGACAAGAGTTCTGGAAATTCCATTCTTTACAAATTTCCTAGAAAAGCTTGTCTTGGGGTCAAACTTGGACAGATGAGTTTTGGGGAAATGAAACTGTGAAACTTAGCTGTGACAGATGACTAAAACTAAGTTTAATAGAATGACTTGAAAGCTTCAATCAAACCAGACTTCACATGAGCTAAGAAATATATCTGGACCGTTGGAGTTATAGGTATGTGACAATTCTTTAACATAATCTTTGACAAGTCATTGGTGTTAACCCTAACCCTAGTTGCACAAAGGCCAGTCTTCCTGTGCTCATGCGCTGCTAGAACTGTTGTTTCCACTGATGGAAACTTCTACTCTGTTGTTCACACCACCTTTACCGCAGGAGTGAAAAGTAAACGAAGAGGGGCGGCTTTAGATTGAAAGGTGCAACCAATGCTTCTGTTTCTGGCAAAGGAAGATATTAATAGACTAAAGGTTTTTTTTATGAGCTTGCTTTGTATATATCTCTAAAGGGATTTATAGTCTTGGCAAATGGCATCTTAGAACATATTTCACATGTTCAATTCATTCAACATTATTTAATACTGAACATAGTCAAGTGTAGTCTTGCGATGGATTGACAGGAAGAATAGATCGTTTTGTACTTCAAACTTTCCTGCTCTTTACTTTAGAGTAGACACAAACACTTTCCACGTTGTCTTCATGGTGAGGTCGTTCTCTGGATCGGTTCAGACTCAGAGCAGCATAATGGAGAATGTCTGCATCTTGGCTCTGTTAGTGACAAAAAATACAAATTATGTGTGAAATATAGTCCTAGAAGAAAGTAGATGTTTGGCTTCAGTTTTAAAGTTCACCTACCACAGTATCAGAAGCTGAACACGCCTGATGAGAAACAGTTCCTGAAAATCAAAAATACACAACTGATCAAGCTAGGTCAAATCAGCTAAAAATGTTTAAGAGCTTTTATTCTGAAAGTCCTACCTTTGCAGACGGTGCATGACTTTTTTTTCAACTTGTACATAATGCAAGCCAAGGCGAGGATCACAATAATGGAAACAGCCAATGCCAAACTGAGGCAATACACCAGGAGAAATCGTTGATTGGTAGAATCTCCTAACACATATTGTGAAGAAAACATGTCATATGCCTTTTTTTTGTATATCTATTTTGGTATAGAATATAAAATGGCAATATTCTTTGCAAAATATGCAATATAAGCTTGAATCACTTACTTAAAATCTCCACTCTGGTTCCATTTCCAAACACGATCTCCCCACAGGAGGCCAGCGCACAGTAATACATCCCTGCATCCGGAGAGCTCACAGACTTTAAAGCCAGTTTTAAAGTGCAATCTTTCATGCCAGTCCCTTCTTTAAGGATATTTTCACACTGTCCATCACTGGGATACACGATTGCAGGCTGAGCCGCACCATGTCTGAACCAGTAGAGGCTCTGCTCCCCTTCACATTCTGTAGCATACACTGAACAGCTCAAATTCACAGAGTCTCCCGCCCGAAGTGGCTCCAACGCCGGCTGATGGACGACCACGTTGATGTTGGACTTCGATGCTTTGACATGAAGGAAAGCTCCTTTTCCGAATTCATTTGCGTTGAAAACTAAAACCCCACAGTAATAAGTTGCTGAATCCAACAGGTGAAGATCTTTGATTGTGAGATCGTTGTTGCCCTCATTACGATTTCCAAAGACGTCAAACCTTTCTTTATACCCGGGGGAGATGGTAGCATCTGAGTTCCGCATTCGAGTTGATATGATGACAGGTTTACCTCCCAAGATTTGTTGGTACCAGGAAAGGAAAATTACCGATTCGTCCTTGCAATTACATTTCAAAGTCACTTTCTCCCCAACGTTAGCTGTTATGATCCCACTATCCTGAGTTATACTTGAGTTTTTTCCTACAGCTGGCACCTGACCTGCATAAGAGAAATGCATAAAAGTATTATTAATCTTCCAAAACCTTATCTTTTTTCACTCCAAATTACATTCATGCACACGGAAAAAGTCAAAAAGGTTGTAAAAGACTCACAGATTTCACCAAGAAGCACAAGAAAAATCCAAAGTAGCATCTTCCCTGAAGCTCTGCAGTTTGTGTCTTGTGTGTTGACGGACGCTCTCTTTACTCTTATAGGAGACGAAGGCTGTTTGTGATTGGCTGAACTCACTGGTTTGTTCTTTTGCAAAACGTTCCGATCAGGTGGCTATAGGTGTGTGAATCGTTGTTGCAGGACAGTAAATGTGACAACATGCATATAATTATTTTTCAAATGTATGTGTGGAGGTTGGTGTTGTGTTCTTTTCACAACATGCACTGTGTTTTGATTTTATTTAGAGCAATATGCTGTAATTTTCAGCCATGTCATTCTATTTGTTCAATTTAGATGTGCTTTTACGCTTTGTATGATTTCTTTCAAGATTAGATTTAGGGGATGTGTGTTGTTAAGGAAGTTGAAAGGCAGTGTGTGGGAGGTGATTTAACCCATTTTAGTGCTACTTTAAAGTTAATGTTGAATGCTTACTGTTAATGGCTGTGGTTACAGGTTGGTCTTCTTTGTTGTACCCATCATGCCAGTGAGGCCTGGTCAGATCTGGCATTTGGCAATCACTTTTATTAATGGGACAATAGCCTACGTACCCATTATCTCAAATCTTGTTTAGAGGAAACCACGCATGAAGACTTGCAACAAGATGGTCCGAGCCATTGTTTTTGTACTTCAATTCAATGTTGCATTTTGGCCCTCTAATCTTTTAAGTTATTCAAAGATGATGATGTGTTAATTGGGAAGTCAAGTTTAAATAATATGTGTACCACCCTATGCTACATTAGCATCTGCTGCACATGGGAACATGGTAAAACTGAGGAATGATACCTATTTTATATTGGACTGTCTCCTTGTTTTTGAAACAAACAACTATCAGTGGTTTACTTAAAGTGGACCTATCATGCTATATTTGGGCCATACCTATATAAAGTATATAAATATAGTTTTTTTTTCAAAATACCAAACAGATCCTGCATTTTAGCCATGCCTCATTTCGCTCTATTTGCTCTTTCCAGCCCTGTTTTTGCAGGGGGCTGATTCTGTGACGTAGCTTTAATGCAAATGAGCTGCAGCTGACCACGCCCCCTTGCAGGAGAGGGGGAGAAAAAGAGATCTCCGTCCTCCGTGTTTTATTCTTACAGTATATGATTATATAGAGTCATTATTCATTTGTTTTAAAGCTCAATAAATAACAAAGAAAACCTTTGACCGGCATTTTTCTAATTTTGTCCGGAAGATTTAAACTTTAACGGACATGTTGACCGGCGAAAAAAAATCTAACTGAAACTCTGCCGCACGGTCCCCTCGTTCCTTGGAAGAGGCGGAGAGGTGGGTGTTTGTCATCTGCTGGTGGACTAACCGGAGAGAATTACAGTGCTTGCCTCGACGGGGAGGGATTGCATTGAATTAAAGCAGCGGGAGCAAACGCTTGCCTCGGGGAGGGAGAAAGAACGCCACAGCGGAGAATAAACAGAAGGGCAACCATGGCAACCATGCGCGGGAAGTCTTCTTCGCTGCTTTTGTGGCAGACTCCAGCGCCACTTACAGGCCTGGCATATGTACTACAGCGTCTCCAGCGCTTTCGAGCGGCAATGGCCGGCCGTGGCCCAACCCCACATTCCCCTGATAGGTGGAGAGTTGGCCATATAGGCGGAGCTCCTCGTTCCTGACGTCAGTAACGTGTTCAAATCTGGATCCGTTTTTATCAGATCCGTTGCAGCCCCGTTTTTAGAGATTTGGGTATGGAGGAAAATAGAGAGGGTTGTGTTTTCTGACACTTGGTGAGTTCCCTGACACACCGGGGACACATATTCATGTATAAAAGACGTACAAAAGTGCATTTTGCATGATAGGTCCCCTTTAAAGAAGCAGCCATTATGTCTTTAAGTGTGCAGGAAAGTCAAAGCTAGTTAGCCTAGCTTTGGAACATTAGCATCGGTTCCCACTAGATTTTGTACATCTGAGTCTCTGGCTTATAGCTGTGTTCATTCTACACTTAGAAAGTGTTGTGCTGGCTAGCGTAACATAAACAGTTGTACTCATTTCCTGCCATTTTAGACTGACAGATGTATTGTAGTTGACAGCTGTTGGTTTCCCTTCACTTTAGTAAGGTAAAATCAACATGCAATTCCCAGAAAATTGTATGTACATTTCACTAAAGTCAACAATTAGCTTTATCAATTTATATGACAGTAGCTGGCTAGAGGAAATGAGGATTTGCTTAAATTGTGCTTGAATCTTAACACTTGGCTAAAAATCTCAATGGAAATGGGTTCAGGGGTTTTGGAGCTTGACTTTCTGCTTAGGTAAAAAAGACAACATAGTTGTTGTACGTTACTCTGAAGAAAATAATATAGTTTTGTTTAGGTCCCTCTTAATCTACCTTGCAGATTTCACAGCACTGTCAACTCCTGCAGTCGATCTACCAAAGCAGCCCCTCTGCGTGTGACTGAAATGTCCTTTGATGTTTGTGGTCTGTATGCACAAGCTTTAACAAAACCGACTGACCAACTCGCTTCCTGAGTTGTGCAAAGTGACGGCCTAATGTTTCACAAACAAGTCAAAGCTGAAATGGAAAATAGATCCTCCCATTCTTATTTCAAGAGAATATGAGTCAGACCATGTGGCAACAATGCAAAGAGGAAGCAACAGTGTTTGTTAAACATCTTAAAGTTAATAACACGTATTTAGTACAAGCAACACGAGGTGGAACTGCTTTATTGAGAATAATTGTTCAATGTGGTTTTGGCAGGTTGAGCTTGTCAAACTCTTCAGTCTTCATTGCATTTCTTTGTCATTTGGAGTTAAGTGCTCAGTCCTGTTGTGTGTTTGTGCTGAAGGAATTTAGGATTCAGTAGAGTTACATTTATTTGTTTGTTTGTCGTAACTCTTGAAATAGGTCAGAAACAATATGAGCTGGTTACTAAAGCACCACATTGGGCAGCCAAAGCATTGTGTAGCAATACTTCATTTTTCCACCACTTCAATACTGGCATTAAAAGTAAACCAGGTCAGTTAACAGATATACTTCCTTTGTACTTCTGCACTGTTTAACAAAAGTGGCATTTGACTATATACACATTGCATGTATATTTCTTTATATTTATCAAAACATATATCAAAAGTAGAGACACCAAGACAACCTTTAGTTAGAATAAAAGAACACGTGTTTGTAGAAAAGAGAAAGTAAAGGCGACCAACCTGGTACATCTAACCTTTGAGTTAGATGTACCAGCGCCTTTTCATCTGTATCTAGTTATGTGTATGAACTGCGGCTGTAAGTATTGGCTTTTGGTAAGAAGTAAAGGCGTCATTGTGAATACAACCACATTTCTTGTCGGGGGGGGAGGGCAACAAAACCCCTTAGATTGAACTCGATGTGAGCGAGCAGACCAGAGCGGGAACTTTCTTTTCCTTTCTTCTCTTTTTTCTCAGTGAGTAGCAGTACTTAGAAACACATCACTAAATATATGAGTGTTTGAGACAAAAAAGTCAAAGGTTGGACAAAACGGCAAACTTCTACAACAGTTCTAAACTTAGTCATTATAATATGATAAATAATAATTATGCATAGTTAGATCATTCAAGCTTGAGGACATTTGGCAGCTAAAATTCAAAACGAAATGTTTATTTTTACCAAACTTATCTCTAAAAACCATCAAAGTGAGGATTTCTGATTGCATAGTGACTCAACGTGTTGCTGTCATGTTAAATATGGTGCACTGGGTCTAAACAAAAAGTATGTCTGGTTACCACAACAATACCTCTAAATATATCAGTCTGTGGGGGGAACACACAAATCAATGGGTCTTTGAAAATGCACTGTCTTTGTGGTGTGTGCACTTTAAATAACTTAACTTTCAGATCTTATCTATCTTGTGGTCACGCCGATCTGTAACTGTTGTTTGACCAGATAAGCAAAATGGTGGAACAGTGTAAGAATCATACAGTAGGAGGAATGCTGCTCCCTACAGACCAAAAGCTTAACTGCAGACATCAAACTGAAATGAAGCAACAGGCCTAATGTTGAATTTAAACGTGGAATCCACCGAGTTTAGTTTAAATGTAAAAACATCTGGGGAAAAAGTTGGATAATGTCTTCTGTCACTCTGGAGCTTTTCAAATTCTGAAAGAAATACAATTGGGTCTTAAAGTTTCAGTATTTCCGACTGTTGTTTCACATTGACTGTAATTCTTTTCTCTTTTGAGCATCCTTACTTTATGAAAATGCAATGCTTCATTTTTTTGGATACCTCTTTAGCCACATTCAGAGATTTAAACAGGGTAAGACAAACTCAAGTCATGGAAGACCAACTATTATGGTTGTTAGAAAAATATCACTCGTCACCTTCTTGGTCTTCAATATCAGGATACATGTATTTATTATCCTTAAGAATGGAAGTAGTCATCACACACAGAGCTGCATGGGACTAAATAGTTCCCAGAACAGTGTCCTTCACATGCTTATATACAAGAGGGTGTTACAGTCACCCGATGGAGGTATACTGGTTCAAAGCAGTATACTGAGCCTTATTTCAGATTAGCTAAGGCCTGCGTAAGCAATACACATGTCAGTCATATGTCTATCTCCATAGAGGCTGAATCATCATGTTAATCACATAGCTATCATATGCCTAAAACAGTCCTGATGCTCTTCTAGTTAATCATACATCCGGTTACGTACACAGCTACGTAGGGCCTTTGTTATCATGTGCTACTCTGATATTAGAAGAGTACATTCAGTATTTTTCCATCAATGGTTATACAATATCAAATGCATACAAGTAAAGCGGTAATAAAAACGTTTATTTACAAAAAGAGAAAATATAGAAAACAATTGAATCCACTGCATAAAAATTATGCTATTACTATTTTTCACTTATTTCATTTCAATTCCTGATACACATAAGAGGGATAGGGTTAGGGTTATGAGGACACTTTAAACTTCACAGTAATGAATAAACAGGATTTAAAGAATGTTTAAAACACAAAATGTAATAAAATTCATGATGGCAGGAGTCGGTGAAAGGTGTAGAACAGGGGTGTCAAACTCAAGGCCCGGGGGCCAAATCCGGCCCGCGACTTCATTTTATGTGGCCCCACAAGAGCTTGCAAAGAATATAATATGTTTATTATACGGTTACATGCTACTTTACAGAAGCACGTTGCCCATAAACGACATGTCCCACAATGCATCTCAAATTTGACTTTTTCTCAGAATTTGACTTTTTTTGTCCAAATATGCCTTTTTTCTTAGAATTAGCCTTTTTCTCATAAATAGATTTTTTTTTCAAAATGTCACTTCTCTTTTTCAAAATGTCACAATCAATGTTTTTCCAGAATGTGGCTTTTCTTTTAAAATCATATTGTGACATTCTTACTGAAGAGACTTGCAATTATTTGCTCTAGACTTCTGCTTTCAGACGTAGTTAATTATGAAGTTATATTAATTAATGATATAGTCTTAAAGTTACAACCGGCCCTTTGAGTGCAACCATAATGCTGATGTGGCCCGTGATGAAATTGAGTTTGACACCCCTGGTGTAGAAAGTGTGGTCACTTTAGGTCTGACAGTCTTACTGTAGAGTAAACCGTCTCATCCTCTGTGCTTCTCTTTCTTTTGCTCTTGCTTCGCATCGTTTTGAAATCCAGAGCTTCGTACTCCAAATCTTTAGATTCCTGATTCTGTAGACAATAAGGAACTCAATTATAGAAAACAGATACTATACCTTTATAGTTATGGAATGTGGCTGTTTATAATAAAATATGATCGATGTTTGGAAAATCTTTAGAGCTTACCTCAATGTTAGGAGTGTATTCTGCGACCGAAGTGTGGGGGGGAGACACCCCTGTAATAAAAAAATCCAATGTTATAGTCATTACATTCCAAACAATGTAATTAATTGGACCCTTGACCTAAATGATGAGGTGTGTGGATTATCCAATGACAATTTGACATTGTTTCTGAAAAATATATATTTAACTAACTTTATTTTCTTGTACCCCTACAAATTGACAGTATTAATATTGAACTAGTTGAAAAAGAGAAACGTTATTTTTTAAATGCTATGAACAACACAAATACAATTCTTAGAGTGCCTCAAAACGGATACCTCAAAACCAGGGAAAACACCAAAAATATCTGCGTGGCTAGATAAAACTAAGAAAATATACTTTAGTCATTTTAGTTATTTAGCAAAAATCTTTCCTCTTTTTTTTCTGAAAACAGACAAAATGAAAAACTGAATAATAATAAAATGTACCTCCAGAATGAAGGTTTTCTCTCCTTGACACTTTGCAGAGGATACCGATTACGATGATGTTCAAGATAACAGACACAATCAGAGCTGCAACCACACAATGCACCAAGAGAGGGAAGATGTCTTGCCGTTTCTCTGTAAAACATAAAATAATTAAAAGTGTAAAAAGAAATGGCTTTGATTCATATTTTTTTTTTAATGGCACTCACCTCCAACCTCCAGTCTTGTTCCTTTCCCGAAGATTATCTCTCCACATAAAGCCACAGCACAGTAATACGTCCCAGCGTCAGACAGGCTTACATTCTGCTTTGATAAACTGTGCACACAGCTCCACGCAGGAAACTCGGACCCCAGGCTCTGCACACACTGACTGCTGCCGTTTGTGTGGATGTACATAGTTCCCACATTTTTGGAGTTTGTTGAATTCTCCTTTTTGAACCAGTAAACACTTCTGTGTTCTGTGTCATTGGTTCCAGTGTGCACCGTGCAGTTCAGAGTAACAGAGCCTCCAGGCTTCACAGAGTTGGACTCCGGCTGCTGGAGTAAATACCTGAGACTGGACTCTGAAATATAGAAATTGACAGAAAGGGTTATGAAATTGAGGACACAGAAAAAAAGTTGTTTACTGTCCTTAATCAGAAACAAAATACCTTTCAAAACCAAAAAAGTTCCATTGTCAAATTCAGTGACTGCGCCACTGGTTTTTCCACAGTAGTATATAGCTGAATCCGAGTCCTGGACATTAAAAATGTTAAGATGGTTGAACCCCAATCCAGTGTGAACTGCAAAGCGTTGGTTGTCTTTAAACTCGTTATAAAAGGTGTTCTTTGAATATATGTAGACAGAGGACATCATTCTAGGTTGCCTCCCTGGTACCTGCTTGTACCAACACAGGTTTTTGTCAATGGAGGTATAGAAACACTTCAAAGTCACATTTTGTCCGGGTTCAGCGTAGAGCAGAGCGCCATCTGAAATACAGACAGTTAATTACCATTGAATGCGTCACTTTAAACACATTTTAAAATCTCATGCATCACAATTTCAAAATGCCTATGTAAGATTTACTAAAAGAACACTTACAGGCTCTGAAGAGAGTAACTAAGAGCACATAAATCTTGAACATCCTTTACGCTCCGTTGTTCAGACTCTTCCAGTGTGATGGAGGTTTCAGTAAAAGTGTCGAGGTTAAATTGTAATGCTGTCAGCGGAAAAAAGGCGCGTTTGAGTGACCCAGGTGTTGCAGAATTGTGGTTGTCAATACTTCTTCTAACGGAAGTGAAAACGTTTAGATTGTTATTTGTATTGGTCCTTTAACCCTTGCTAACAGCAAATCTTTTTAGAACATCTTTCCTTTTCGGCTAAATATGTCACACAGTGGTTTTGATGTGTTTTAGATGTATAAGGGGCATCAGGCTGGTGCACTCATTTGCCAGTTGTGTGCATGAAATGAGGCTTCATACTGTCGAGAACAGAGCCTTGAGGAACTCCACGTCATTTTTGTAATTACCAAATATGTAGTCATCCCTATTCTTAATTTGTTCTGAAGATAACAAATGCATCACAAATGGAAACATTTGGCAACATACAGTAGAATTTAAATATTTTTTTGTGACCTGGATATGCACTCACTCTTCCCTATATTTTGACTACCTTACAATTACAGAAATTAGGTTTTGAAGTTGCATTCAAAGACCCCATGTCCATATTGTTTTTGATATCTAGCTTGAAAAGTGGTTCAGTTGTAGGTTTGTTGTGACCCATTGTCAGTTATGAGTATCTGAAACCGATAGATTCATTTATTATTATTCTTTTTTTGTACCATATCCCCAGTTTTCAGTGGCGTTTTTATATGTACAAAAGTGGAGGGTCACAAACAACCTAGATGTGTCTGAGCTTCTGGTGCCTTTTTAAACATGTAAACAAATAGCTGTAGGCTATCCATGGTTCCGATAGAGAGAGAGGGGGGGGGGGTATAAAAAACAAGAAAACACAGACTCTCATCACCGGGGTCACAATATAAATCGATCCAGCAGAGCAATAGCCTATAAGCAAAACCCAAAAGATCAACAAAAGATATGACATAAAATGAACTTACCAAAGCTGAAGTAGATGGTCAACTTCATTCATTTTCTTTCCATTTTACTGATTTGAATCGCAATACGCTGATCTCTCTCGTCTCCTCTTCAAAAACAACTACTATTTTTGCGGCACACTTACTTACAGCCAATCATCTCTCTGAATTATGAGATGACGTTTGGTAGGTATGTCAGCACAGTGCCCCTATGGTGATTATGTTTTTGCTGCACACATTGAATAGAAAAATACTCTGAGCATGCGCAGTGTCGTTTTTACAGCACCCATTCACTTAGACGGCTTGACCCACGTCGCTCAAAACTGCTCAATAGGCACACTGTAGACACTAATTAGAAGAACACAGACTAAAACAGCAATGTACAGACGAATCAGATGATTAAACATGCTCTTAAAATATATTTTAAGATGTATTTCTTTTGCATTTATTTGCATTTTTTTTTAATTATTATTTGAATTACTTTCTGCTGACACTAAGTGGGGCACCTGCCACTAATGACCAGTCGCCAGGGTAGGATTTTCACCGGCGGCCATGCCGTCATTGCCCCTAGGTCTGGCCGTGAAGCCCCGAAAATAATTGTACGTCCTACGGCCACCATGGCTTGTGTGCACCTGATACTGTTAAAATCTCGAAGTTGCTTTAAAAGCGTCAGAACAGTGGTTTCTAAACTGCATTATGCTGCGTTCACAACGGACGCGATGCGAATATTCTCATCGCTCTAACCGCTGGAGTTTCACCGCGGCTTTCAGCTGTGTTTACTCCTGTCATTCAAACGGGACGCGCTCGAGAGGGGGCGGGGCTTATATCCATGTAAATACTGTGGTGGAAACCAACTACGACAAAATTAACCTATTTTACCGTGATTTAATTGTAATACACGTTTCAAAAATGATGCCGAAGTAACTAAATACTGATAACGGTTAGTAAAAACCATGCTTTGACAAGTGTGCAGACAAGACGGCAGGCGAAAAACTTTTAAAATGCGTGTTCTCTGAATGGAGCGATCTCCATTCGATCAGATCAGAAACTAACCTGTATCAACTCCGTCCAAACTCACAACGTCCTAAAGACATAATTAAAGCAGCGACTGTATTCACCATAACACAGACAGTCTGTGGTTTGTACATGTTTAACTTTTGTCTAGTTTCTGAACAGATATGAGGAGCTGTGAGGAGTTGATTAAAGAGACACACACACACACACACACACACACACACACACACACACATACACATACACATACACACACTTTTGCATTTCAAAGTATTGCTTGTTCATTCAGTTGCAGGGGCGGATCTAGAAAAATATTCATGGGGTGGCAGGAGAATTTCAGGGGTGGCATCCCCTGGCAGAAGTATATGTTGATTTAATCGCAGTCATATCAATTAATGTTAACTTGGAAAGCCACAATATTGATATTTTAACTGAATAACATAGGTGACATTATTGTGGCACATCAGTAAAGCCTTACATATAAATATTAGGGCTGTCAGTCGATTAAAATATTTAATCGCGATTAATCGCATGATTGTCCATAGTTAATCGCGATTAATCGCAAATTAATCGCACATTTTTTATCTGTTCTAAATGTACCTTAGAGGGATATTTTTCAAGTTTTTAATACTCTTATCAACATATGAGTGGACAAATATGCTTTATATGTTTGTTTATTATCATTTGAATAATGACAAATATTCTCATGAATATTAAACACAACAACCTCTGAACATTACAAATATTCGCCTCAATTCAACCTGGAACCTCTCTCATACAATAATACTGTGTGTGTGTGTGTGTGTGTGTGTGTGTGTGTGTGTGTGTGTGTGTGTGTGTGTGTGTGTGTGTGTGTGTGTGTGTGTGTGTGTGTGTGTGTGTGTGTGTGTGTGTGTGTGTGTGTGTGTGTGTGTGTGTGTGTGTGTGTGTGTGTGTGTGTGTGTGTGTGTGTGTGTGTGTGTGGAGACACTGTGATGGATCGTTGGAGCTATGTGCAGCTCAAGGCATATATGCTCGAATGGGAGCTGCCTGGACGCTGCAATCATGTTGCGCGTACTATCCGTGCTGAGTGTGCTGACTTTTCGTACAATGTCCCACTGGCTGGCTACCTGCATAAAGTCAAGTGCTCGGCGCAGTTGTCGGCGAAATGTCATTGAAACAGCTCCTTATATCCGTTAGCGCAGCTAGCTAGCACCAGATGCTAACAACAACATCAACACGTAAGGTGTGCCTCGCTTGCGCGAGTCGCGCCACACATACACACACCCTCCCGGTCCTCCCGATGGCCAGTCCGGGCCTGCCAGTGAGCGTGGAAGTGTGGTCTGACTCTGCCACAAGCGGGCGGCAGGAGCGAGGCTGTCAGCATCAGCTTGTAGATGGTATTTTACACTCGATGCGCTCTGAAACTACGGCGGCCGAGGACAAAAAATACACATGCGTTAATCGCGTTAAAATAATTAGTGGCGTTAATTTTTTTTTGCGTTAACGCGTTATTAACGCGTTAACTTGACAGCCCTAATAAATATATAAGGTGGCAGACATAATTGAATGAATTTTAACTGAACAATAACTGAATGAGTTTGACTCTTAGACCAGCAGGGGTACCCAGTGGCGACTGGTCATTAGGTGGCAGCCCCACCAGTGTCAGCAGAAAGTATTACAAATAATGATTACAAAAAACTGCAAAAAAAACTGATTCGTCTGTATATTGCTGTTTTAGTCTGTGTTCTTCTAATTAGTGTCTACAGTGTGTGCCTATTGAGCCATTTTGAGCCATGTGGGACAAAACCCGATCATGCCCCTCCCTCTCACTGTCTAAGTGAATGGTGACTTTAAAAATGACACTGCGCATGCTCAGAGTATTTTTCAATTTAATTTGTGTGGCAAAAAAATAATGACCATAGGGGCACTGAGCTGCCATCCCCACCATACGTCATCTCACATAATTCAGAGCTGATTGGCTGTAAGTATGTGTGCCGCGAAAAGTCTGGTGTGTGAAGAGGAGACGAGAGAGGTGCAGTGACGCGTCCTAAAACCCGGAAGTAAGCTGCGCATGGCTTCCCTCGACAAAAAAGCAATGAGGTTTCTCCATAGGATTTTAGAAAATAGCTCCAAATAAGATCTGTGGGAAACGTACCTGTTAGATAAATGCACATTTTGTTCAGCCGGATAATATCTACATGTCTACCCTACTTTTATAATTTTCTAATCATAAATCTATCGATTAGATTTATGATAGACTTTTGAAACTACAAGAAGATAAGGAGGACTTTTACAAAAAAGTAATAGAGATTTTTGTCCAGAAGGATAGGCAAATGGACTTCATCTTCAAGTCAAGGTAAGACCGCAATTTTATTGAAAATGGGATCTTACTGAGAGAGAACAATTCAATATTTAAATGATAAAATTACATTTTTTGGGTATCCTTTTGTTGAACTGTCTGTTTAAAAGTAATCGAAGCATCAGACTAAAAAAGCTTTTGAAAATGATATTATATTTTGATTTAGATCAAAATATAAATTTGTAAACCTGAAGACTCAGTGCCAGTGCCTCACCAGACATGAACCTCACTGCACGTCACTGCAGAAGCTTATAGACATCTAAGTTTTTTGTGCCCCACCACTTTTGTACATATAAAAACGCCGAAGGGGGTACCAAATCTATGCAGACTGCTACAATAAGTACATTAATTAACTGTCTCGTCGATGTTTGTCTAAATTAATATGATACTATTAACAATCATATTATTCCTATCAGCTGTCAATCACTTTTATGATTCACATATTCAGTGTAATTATTAAATAAACTATATTTTTTGGAGGAGTTAATGATGAATGTTCCTCAAGATGCTTGCTCACCCTCAGTGGCGGCGCCAGGGTATTTTTGTTGGGTAATCTATGGTAGGGCTAACCCATACAGTGGTGGTGCTCAAGTCAGTATTTGCAATTTAATTACATACACGCTATATCGCACCCCGTGAAACAGTGAAATGCCACACGTGAGGTTTAGATTATTTCCCTTTCTCAATCAAAATGGAACTGTATGAAATAAAACGGCACATTTGTCTTATAGTAAATAA